TTGTACGTTTGTCCATTGCCAAAGAAATGCTCAGTCTATAATTTTAATGGTAGGTTTATTTGAACAGTGAGAGACAGAATAACAACAAAATATCCAGAAAAATGCATGTCAAAATGTTATTAATTGATTTGCATTTTAATGAGGGAAATAAGTATTTAACCCCTCTGCAAAACATGACTTAGTACTTGGTGGCAAAACCCTTGTTGGCAATCACAGAGGTCAGACGTTTCTTGTAGTTGGCCACCAGGTTTGCACACATCTCAGGAGGGATTTTGTCCCACTCCTCTTTGCAGATCTTCTCCAAGTCATTAAGGTTTCGAGGCTGACGATTGGAAACTCGAACTTTCAGTTCCCTCCACAGATTTTCTATGGGATTTAGGTCTGGAGACTACTAGGCCACTCCAGGACCTTAATGTGCTTCTTCTTGAGCCACTCCTTTGTTGCCTTGGCCGTGTATTTTGGGTCATTGTCATGCTGGAATACCCATCCACGACCCATTTTCAATGCCCTGGCTGAGGGAAGGAGGTTCTCACCCAAGATTTGACGGTACATGGCCCCGGCCATCTTCCCTTTGATGCGGTGAAGTTGTCCTGTCCCCTTAGCAGAAAAACACCCCCAAAGCATAATGTTTCCACCTCCATGTTTGACGGTAGGGATGGTGTTTTTGGGGTCATAGGCAACATTCCTCCTCCAAACACGGTGAGTTGAGTTGATGCCAAAGAGCTACATTTTGGTCTCATCTGACCACAACACTTTCACCCAGTTGTCCTCTGAATCATTCAGATGTTCATTGGCAAACTTCAGACTGGCATGTATATGTGCTTTCTTGAGCAGGGGGACCTTGCGGGTGCTGCCGGATTTCAGTCCTTCATGGTGTAGTGTGTTACCAATTGTTTTCTTGGTGACTATGGTCCCAGTTGCCTTGAGATCATCGACAAGATCCTCCCGTGTAGTGCTGGGCTGATTCCTCACCGTTCTCATGATCATTGCAACTCCACGAGGTGAGATCTTGCATGGAGCCCCAGGCCGAGGGAGATTGACAGTTCTTTTGTGTTTTTTCCATTTGCGAATAATCGCACCAACTGTTGTCACCTTTCACCAAGCTGCTTGGCAATGGTCTTGTAGCCCATTCCAGCCTTGTGTAGGTCTACAATTTTGTCCCTGACATCCTTGGAGAGCTCTTTGGTCTTGGCCATGGTGGAGAGTTTGGAATCGTATTGATTGATTGCTTCTGTGGACAGGTGTCTTTTATACAGGTAACAAGCTGAGATTAGGAGCAATTCCTTTAAGAGTCTGCTCCTAATCTCAGCTCGTTACCTGTATAAAAGACACCTGGGAGCCAGAAATATTTCTGATTGAGAGGGGGTCAAATACTTTAGATGCCACTGGTTCTTCACGTTCTGTAGATGTAGATGCCACTGGTTCTTCACGTTGTATAGATGTAGAGGCCACTGGTTCTTCACGTTCTGCAGATGTAGATGCCACTGGTTCTTCACATTCTGCAGATGTAGATGCCACTGGTTTTTCACTTCTGCAGATGTAGATGCCACTGGTTCTTCATGTTCTACAGATGTAACAAACAGCTACATTGTGCTGTTTATTAGTACAATGTTTTTGGCCCAATTAGCGACGAAGCGTGTTTGATTCTTACTTATTATTACTCACGTGGGAGGAAGGAAAACCGGAGCGCCCGGAGAAAACCCCCACGCTTTGTGCGAGGGAGCAACGCTCTATCCCCGAACAGACGGGCGACCCTCCTGCAAGCGATTCCCGCGGTGTAACGACCCACGTGGCCAAAACCAGCGCGAACCGATTGCAGCAAAATGAACACTTTGCTCAACAGCTTGCTCGGTGAGATATGAGAAGGGACAATAATAATAATAAGACAAGTATTTAAATAAAGTATGGAATTACGAAGCGTATATACGGGAGGGAACGATTGCGCGGTGTCAATGGGGGGGTGGGTGGGGGGTGGGTGGGACCTTTGTGAGACGCTTGACGGCACAATGGAGGCGCTGTGACATCGCCGTGACAGCGGTTGGTCCGCCGCTCCGCTCGAGGCGTCTCGGCGTCGCAGAGGGAGGGGGGCTCGTCGACGGGAAGACGGCGCCCGTGGTGCGACTCCCCCCACCCCTCCCCCCGCGCCCTCCCCCCGGTGGGGTTCCGCGTGGGCTGCGGAGAGCCGGCATTGGGCGTGGCTTGTGTCGAGCCCAGCCCCGCGCAGCCGATTGGGTTCCCAAGTCGGACGAGAGTTCCACGTCGGGTCAGAGTCTCGCGCGCGCAGCCGCTCACTTGCAGCGCACGGTCACCACCGACGCCGGTGGGACGAGCCATTTGCCTCCCCGCGCAGTGTGACCCCCTCGGGGTTCCGCGCACTCTTGGTGTGATCCGGGACCTGGGATCAGGGGCTTGGGATTTGGGGTTCGGGCCCTGGGATCTGGTTACTTGGGATCTGGGACATGGTACTTCATGGGACATGGGATCTGGTATCCTGGGATCTGGGCCCTGGGATTTGGCATCTGGTCCCTGGGATCTGGGACATGTTACTTGGGATCTGGTATCCTGGGATCTCGTACCTGGGATCTGGGATCTGGGCCCTGGGATTTGAGATAAGGGACCATAACTGGAATCTGGAACCTGGGATTCGGGATCTGGTACTTGGGATCTGGAATTTTGGATCTGTCACTTGGGGTTTGGGACTTGGTAACTTGGGATCTGGGTCCTGGAATTTGTGATCTGGTTATTGTGATCTGGGCCCTTGGATTTGAACAGATGCGGTGCTGGGGAGCATCTTGGAAACGTATTCGCATTGTTTCCTCTGCACACTGCCGCGCCGGGAGATGGAATGGAGCCGGAGCCCTCCACGCTGAGCCGCCCAACATCTCAGACCGTGGCAGCCGCCCAACCGCCGTCGGTTTACGAACTTCGACATCGCCCGGAGACGACAAATCGTTAGCCGCCTCTCGTCTGGCCACTAATTATAATAATGATGATCATTACAGTGCGGTGTGATCATTGTTATTTTGTCTCGTCCACACCCAGACCCGCCCAGCCACTCACCCCCCCCCCCCCGGGGGATCGGGGGCGGGGCGGGGGGTTGCTGTCATGCAACGTCAGACGATAAATCACCCAACGGGTTCCGATCGCAGCAGCAGCAGCAGGCGGAGCAAGCGGTGTTTATATAACTGGAAGCCCCCACGTGGCACCGTCTCCTTGCTAAGGGGCCCGGCCCGCCTCGACCCCCGGGGCACCCACGCGTTGCGGTGGGGGGTGGGGGGGTGGCAATCACCACCACCCCCCCACCCCCCACTCCGCTTCCCCCTCTCTCTCTGTGGCTAGGAGATGTTAACTACCTCGCCTGGTACACAGGAGGTCGTGGGTTCGATCCCGACCCTGACGCCTGCTGCTGTATATTTGGAATCTGCGTCTCTCTCTCTCTCTCATCATCACGGTGGCTAGGAGATGTTACCTACCTCACCTGGTATACAGGAGGTCGTGGGTTCGATCCCGATCCTGACGCCTGCTGCTGCTGTATATTTGGAGTCTGCGTGTCTCTCTCTCTCTCTCCCCGTGGTCGCGTGGATTTTACTCCGGGTCTTCCGGTTGTTCCCTCCGCATTTATAATCGACGTCACGCGTTTAGAGGCGCTGCCTGCTATGATTAACCCACTTCGTTGAGCTATCGTTTGTGGCCAGGTCGCGTCTGAAAAACAGCTACGTAGCTCAGCGGGGCCTTTCCTCGTAAAAATAAAAAAAAACATAGTGTAGTCGTTTAAAAAGAGACTGTGGAGCGGAGCGTCTCGTCGCTCGCATCATGAGATTGCGTGGAGCGGTGGCGGTGGTGGCGGCAGCAGCAGCGGTTGTAGGTGGTGGCGGTTGTGGTGGTGGTGATGGTAGTGGTGGTGATGGTAGTGGTGGCGGTTGTGGTGATGGTGATGGTAGTGGCGGTGGTGGTGGCAGCAGCAGCGATTGTAGGTGGTGGCGGTTGTGGTGATGGTAGTGGTGGTGGCGGTGGTGGTGGCAGCAGCAGCGATTGTAGGTGGTGGCGGTTGTGGTGATGGTAGTGGTGGTGGTGTTGGTGTTGGTAGAGAAGCGGTTGTAGGTGGTGGCGGTTGTGGTGATGGTAGTGGTGATGGTAGTGGTGGTAGTGGTGATGGTAATGGTAGTAGTGGCGGTTGTGGTGTTGGTAGAGGAGCGGTGTGCAAACGTCGCCAATGGGATGACAGCGGTGGCCGTGCGTGTTGCCGACCATCCATCAATCCATCCGCCCCGCGTGCACCGTTCCGACCTAACTGCACTTGCCCCGCCGGTCGGCGAAAGGCTACACGGGGGATCTTTGGCCTTCCCTCCCACATTGGGCAACTTACCGCGTCCGGGAAGCAGCGGCGGGGGAGCACCCTCGCGGCGTCACCCCGCGTGGGTGCTCCCCCGCCGCGTGGCCCTGCCGAGCTGACGCCCGGGTTCAAGAAACTCGCCCCCCTCCCCCCCCAGCGCTTCAACCACCACGCCGGGAGATGGACTCGGACCGGGGAAGCCTCCGGCTCGCACGACGTGCCGTGCCGTGGGCAGCTGCCTGGCCGAGCGCCCCGCAAGTGAACCGCGGTTTAACCGTAACGGTTCACCGACAGGCCCCGCTCTCATTTGATCATCTCGCGATCCCTCGCCGGCGGCGGGCACCGATGCCTCCGCACGGGCGCGGCGCGCACACAGAGGCAAAGGTCCTCCACACCCACCGGGTAGCCCACACTGGCCGTTGGGGCAAGTGCTATCGGCGAGCAGAATCTGTATGGAGGCCGAGCAGAGCTGTGCACGAGGGGGGCGGTGTGGCCACCACCACCACCACGCCCGGCCGCCTTTGTCTCCCCAGTCTCTGGGTCTCTTGTGTGAGGCTATAGGGCATCAGTTTTCCCGAGGTGGTGGATTGCTCGGGGCCCGATGGGGACGGGTGGAGGGGTGGTGCAGCAGTTCACGGGCATCCCCCCCCCCCCCGCACCCCCGCAGGGCAAGGCCGGCGCGTGACGCACGCAGAGGCGGAAGAAGAGGAGGAGGAGGAGGAGAAGGCGGAGGAGGAGGAGGAGCGAGTCGGAAGGAGTCGGAAGGTGATACGGGGCACATGGAGGACGGTGGGGCACAGCGTGGGGCGGGGCTGGAGGAGGTGGAGGGGGGGAGCCCGACCGGGGGGGGCGCTGCGGCAGCGCCGGCGGGGGGGAGCCAGCGGAGCGGTGGGGCTGTGGACGCCGCCCCGTGGCTCCAGGAGAACGGCTTCGGGAGCGGCGGCGCTCACCTCTCGGTGGCTCCAGGTGAGGCCGGCGGTGGCTGGGACGGTGTTGGCCACCCTCGCCTGGCGGTGTGCAGGAGGGCGAGGGTTCGATGCCGACCCCTGGCTCCTGCCGTGTATTTGTAGTTTGCGGTGTCTCTCTCTCTCTCTCATCATCGCCATCATCACCATCATCGCGGTGGCTCGGAGATCTCGCCTGCTATACGCGAGGTTTGTGGGTTCGATCCCGACCCTGACACCTCCTGCATGTAATATTATTTGGAGTTTGCGTGTCTCTCTCTCTCTCATCATCGCCATCATCACCATCATCGCGGTGGCTCGGAGGTCTCGCCTGCTATACGCGAGGTTTGTGGGTTCGATCCCGACCCTGACGCCTGCTGCATGTAATATTATTTGGAGTTTGCGTGTCTCTCTCTCTCTCTCTCTCCCCGTGGTCGCGTGGATTTTTCTCCGGGTCCTCCTCCGCTTTCTCCCTCCGCGCGTTCGAATCGACAACGCGCGTTTAGAGTTGTTTTGGCTGCTGTTATGAATGTCCACGTGTTGACGACGCTGAGCCACGTGGTTGAGCTGCTACCACCTGTGAAAGCCGCTTCTGAAAAAAAGAACTGCATAGCTGAGTGGGCGCCCTCTTCCCTCGGCAACCCCCCCTCCCCCCTATCCCACTGGGGTACCCCCCCCATGCCGGGCCCCCCCTCCCCCCACAAACAGGGATCCCCCCCCAGGCCACGTGTGCAGCCCCTACTCGCCTCTCACTCCAAACCATTTCCTGTTGTGGCCCCAGGGAATTCTTCACCGCGAGTTTCGTTCACACGCGGCGGAGGCGGCGGCGGCCCCCACCACCAACACTGGCCCTGTGTGTGCTACTGGCGGGGTGGGGGGGGGGGATGGGTGGGGGGGGATGGGTGGGGGGGGAGATGGGTGGGGGGGGGGGTCTGTATTGGGGGTCTCCTTGGGGACCCTTTGAGCAGGGAGGAGGGGAGGCCGGTAGTCGTCTTGGTGGTGGTGGTGGTCTTGGTGGTGGCGGTGGTGGTTTTGGGACCTTCCTTTACCATATAGGACTGGCTGCTGCTGCTGTTGTAGCAGCAGCAGCAGCAGCCACACATGCACGAATACGCACACGCACACACACAAACACACACACGCGCACACACACGCGCACACACACGCGAACACACACACACGCGCACACAAACACCCGCACACACGCACAAACACACACACACAAACACACACACACACAAACATGCGCGCGCACACACGCACACACACAGACACGTGCACGGCCACGCTTCACAACAACAGCCGCCATTCGCCACGTCACCAGGGCGCTTGTGCCAGGCTAGGTGCACTCCGAGGCCAGGTGAAGTGTGACAGGGGGTCACAGGACAGACCCAACAGGTGCCACGGGTCGACTGACTGAGATGACCGGTAGATGCACCACCTGTGCCCCCTACTTTACCAACTTGCTGTGCTTTAGTCACTCGGTGCTCCGCTCGTTGTTGTGAGCATCGCTCCTACGCCCTCCGTTGTTTCCCGAGGGTGACTGCCTCCAACTGCCCAGTAGCGTCCTTCACGAGCCTCCTTCACAGAGGTCCATCTCGACGCCGCTGGTACCACTCATCGGCAAGTCCACTCAGCTCCACCCACACACGCACACACACACAAACAAAGATCCCCCGTATAACCTTAACAGACTATAGGGGCAAGTGCTGTTAGCGAGCACCTATAAAGGCCGGCACGGCACACGAGGGGGTGGGTGGCCATCACCACGCCCGGCCGCCTTTGTCTCCCTAGTGGCGATGTTGACACACCACACCAGGTACTCATTTGAGGCTGAGTCTACCTTGGGGAGGCCCTGTACCGGATCAGATATTCGTCACTTGTGTTGGCCATGAGCGGGAACCGAACCCGGGTCGCTGGGTTCATAGCGCAGCGTGCTAACCGCTACACCACCTCTCGCCAACACACACACACGTTCACACACACACACACGTTCACACACACGTGCACACACACACATGCACACACACACACGTGCACACACACACACGTGCACACACACACACACGTTCACACACACACACGTGCACACACACACACACGTGCACACACACACACACGTTCACACACACACACACGTTCACACACACACACGTACACACACACACGTACACACACACACACACACAAAGATCCCCCATATAGCCTTAACAGACTGTAGGGGCAAGTGCTGTTAGCGAGCAGCACCTATGAAGGCTGGAACGGTACACGAGGGGGTGGGTGGCCAGCACCACGCCCGACCGCCTTTGTCTCCCTAGTGGCAATGTTTTTATCCACCGCACCAGGTACTCATTTGTGGCTGAGTCGACCTAGGGGAGGCCCGGGACCGGTTCAGATAATCGTCACTGGGTGTTGGCCGTGAGCGGGAATCGAACCCGTGTCGCCAGGTTCATAGCGCAGCGTAGCGCTAACCGCTACACGTGCACACACACACGTACACCAATACCCGCCAAGTGACGATGACGTCACCAGGGCACCTGTGTCAGGCCAGGTGCACGTCGAGGCCACGTGAAGTGTCGACGGCTCGCTGACAGAGGGGGTCACGGGACAGACCCAACAGGTGCCACGGGTCGACTGACTGAGACGACCCGTAGATGCACCACCCGTGCCCCCTACTTTGCCAACGCGCTGTGCTTTAGTCACCCGGCGCTCTGCGCACGCACGCACCCACCCACCCACACACCCACCCACCCCACCCACCCACACCCACACACGTGCACTCGCAAAACAGACGCACCGCACGCAGTGCCGCTGGCGAGTCACGCGTGTGCACGTGTCACGTGTCCGCCTCACGACGCCCGTCGCGCGTGGCGGAGCGCTCCGTCGTCCCGATGCAACGACGGAGCGCTCGCTCCGCACCGCAGGGTCGGGGGTTCGGCCCGGGGGGGGGGGGGCCGGAGGGGGCTCGTCGCGTCGAACGCAGTTGGGAGAGGCCGGGGATCCTTGCCCATGACGCCTGGCAGCGTGACCAGCGGATGGTTCCGGTGGTTGCCCCGACCCGGCATGCTGATGAGACGCCGATACGTCGAAACCGCTCCCCACGGCTCCTCCTCGCGTTGACCCAACGCTGCCAGAGTGGCCGCCCGCGGACGGGAAGGCCGGGCCCGCGGCGGCTGATGGGATGGGTCGAATCGTTCTCTTTGTGTTTGATGTGGAGGGGCAGATCTGGGGTCGGTGGGGGGAGGGAGGGTGCAGGGCCCGCTCGCGGGCTCTCTCTCGCCCAGCGATGAGCTCCCTGCCGGATTCCGAGTGGAACATTCATACCGAGCCTCTCTCTCTCTCCACATCCTCCCTCTCCCTCCTCGCACTTTGTATCCTCTCTCCCCACTCTCTCCCTCCTCTCTCCACTCTCTCCCCACTCTCTCCCTCCCCTCTCTCCCCACTATCCCCACTCTCCCTCGTCTCTCCCCCCTCTCCCGCCTCTCTCCCCACTCTCTCCCTCCCCTCTCCACTCTCTCTCCACTCTCTCCCTCCCCTCTCTCCCCACTCTCCCCACTCTCCCTCGTCTCTCCCCCCTCTCCCGCATCTCTCCCCACTCTCTCCCTCCCGTCTCCCCCCTCTCCCCCCTCTCCCTCCTCTCTCCCCACTCTCCCTCGTCTCTCCCCACCAGTGTTAATGTATTCAGCATGTTAGTGTGAGTCAGCATCTACATCCACTGTCTCCACTCTCCCTTCTCTCTCCTCTCCCCCACTCCCTCCGTTTTCGTCCCCTGTTCACTCTCCCTTAACTCTCCCTTAACTCTCCCTTAACTCTCCCTTAACTCTCCCTTAACTCTCCCTTGACTCTCCCTTAACTCTCCCTTAACTCTCCCTTGACTCTCCCTTGACTCTCCCTTAACTCTCCCTTAACTCTCCCTTAACTCTCCCTTAACTCTCCCTTAGCTCTCCTTTAACTCTCCCTTAACTCTCCCTTGACTCTCCCTTGACTCTCCCTTAACTCTCCCTTGACTCTCCCTTAACTCTCCCTTAACTCTCCCTTGACTCTTTCCTCTCTCTCCACTCTTCCAGCTCACCGCTTGTTCCCCACACTCTCTCTCTCTCTTTCCCTGCTGCTCTGTGTGGCATTAGTAGTCAAGGGAAGCACGTGGAGTGGTGGGTGGAGTGGGGGGTGGAGTGGTGGGTGGAGTGAGGGGTGGAGTGGTGGGTGGAGTGGGGGGGTGGATCTGGGGGGTGGATCTGGGGGGGGGGGGTGGATCTGGGGGGGGGGGGGTGGATCTGGGGGGGGTGGATCTGGGGGTGGTGGATCTGGGGCTGTGGGAATATTTCGGACTTTAGTTGAAAACAGAAATCGCTTCTGTCTCACGCCTTCCCGAGGGTTGTGTTTCTAAAGCTGCCCCCCCCCCCCTCCCTCCCTCGCTACACACTTATGAGACAAACGCATTCACAACACCAATTGTTATCAGAGGAGGGTGCCGGTTACATTCGGGTTTTGTTTTGGGACGTGAATTCCATCAGCAGCAATGGGAGCTCAAATGGCTCCCCTGTGTTGGAGGGGAAACCCCAGCGTGGAGGTTCCACGCCGGGGTCAGGTTTCGTTTTTAGGCGTTGGTGTGGGGCTGCCCACACGCTGAGATTTAAACTCAACAAGTAACGCTCGACCATGTTTTTATTCTTACCGGGTAAGGCTCCCACCGCGCTACTAAGAAGCTCTTTCTCAGAAGCGACCTGGCCATCGCAAGTGATCGCTCAACGGAGTGGCTTATCGCCGTGTGGAAACGTGGAGCGGCCCGAATACTATGAATGCGCGGCGTTGATGCCTAGTGTGGAGGGGGAACATCTGAGGACCCGGGTGTACAAGGCGAGGTAGTGATGATGATGATGATGAGAGAGACACGCAGACTCCAAATATACAGCAGCAGCAGGTGTCAGGGTCGAGATCGAACCCACGACCTCCTGCGTACCAGGCGAGGTAGTTAACATCTCCTAGGCACCGTGATGATGATGAGAGAGAGACACGCAGACT